GTGGCAGATTCCTATGTTCTTGCCCTACTGCACACATTTATGTGACAGGGTTAAGCCGCAGTCTTGTGTGAGCCTGAGGGGAATATGAGGGGAATATCCAGAGTGGATAAGGAGCCGTGGCCGCATTGTTACCGTCGACTGTTATACTTCTAGAGCACCTTGCTAAATCTTGGCCGTTCCATCAACCAACTGGGCTCGACTTCCGACTTCCAAGAGTTGTGACTGTTGAAAGTCTGCACTTCAGTCGATCTGCAACTTTAAACTTGAAGTTGCAACTTGCAAGTTGCAAGCTCAAAAGCAAGCACTCCCCTTGCAAGGGCTTCGGCGCTGCTCTGGCGCCGTAAGGACGAAGGAGGATCCCATCATCTGGAAATGAAAAGAACGTGGTCAATTGGCTGATCGATGTTACATTCTATGGTACATTCTATGGTTGAGAATCTTGAGTTCTGCAGGGCAAGGGCTTCCTTCACCTTTTCATGTTGCACGCATGATCAAGCAGGTGGTGGTATATCCAAGTTTCGTTCTTCTGAAGCAGCGGCTGGGAGAACTGTGTCACAGGCAGCTCGTGCGCTTCTCAGTTGTCGGAATGTTGAACGAGCTCAAAAGCTGAGTCTAAGAAATAGTTCTGGTAGGGCATTGGGATCTTTTACCCCTTCTCTACGCAAAAGCACACACTTGCAGCACCACCTGAAGGTTTGGGGATGGTTATTGATCCCAAAGGTGCATTCCGTGAGTAAATTTGGAACCTGTGGCAGGCACATCAACGAGTTTGCATTGATGTCAGGCGATTGCAAGGTGGTGTGCCAATCTGGCAAAGCAACATTGTCCAGCTTTTTGGCAAGAGAGGATCACAGGAACTTCTGGGACTTGGATCTAGAGGCACTGGTAGACTGGTTGGGCGCATTCTATACCAGAAAGATAGATGGTGACCCCATCTTTAAACAACGGTGCCAGATCTCAAGCATCAAGAGGCAGAACAAAAGCAGGCTTGCTGATGTAGAGGTAAGGACTTTTCCTTGCTCCCCCAAGCCTCGCATTTGAAAGGGGCATCACATCCTGAGCCTCTGTACCTGCTTCTAGGAGTGACCTTCTTAATACTCAATTGTGATCTATAGAATGTACTACTAGTGATTCCTTTTTTTCTCTTTGAGTCTTCCTATCACATTTGTGGAAAGTGTGATGTGTGATACTGGCATGCAGTTGCAAACTTCTAGTTGCGCTTGACCATTAAAGGAACCAGAAAGGTCCTTTGGGTAAGCCCAAAACCTGGCTGACACGTCTGCAATTATCCATTGCAGCGGAACTCTGAGAGATGTCAAGATACTTACAGAAGGTGTGGCAATCATGACGAAATTGAGCGTCTCACTTCAGAACTGCAGAAGGCGAGGCTGGCAGAAGGTGGATTAGCAACATTTCTGTCAGATGACGTAAATGAGAGCCACGCTGCTTGTGGAGATTGTTCGACACCGAGTGAGCATGATAGAGCCTCAAATCCGGCAGCCGAAGAGCAGAGATACATTGATGCAAAGCAGAAAGATAAGCTAGCTAGAGCAAGTCAAAAGCTCGCAGAGATACGATCTCGCATTGGGCCGCTGGAGCAAGATCTCAACAGATTGTGCAACGAGACGCTGGAGTGGCAGGTGCATATTTTGCAAAGTCCATCCTTGCCAGCAGCTTGTGTCATTTGGTGCTCATTGCGGCCTGAGAAGTTGGTCCTCCATGTGCTTTGTATGACAAAACCTTCGCTTCTGGCCCCCAGCATTTCCTGTCGAGTAATCAACCTTCTGAGCTGATTTTGCGCAGGCGTCGAGAAGGAAACTTTGCTTACATACAAATCCTGTGCTGCAGGAACTTCAAAGGGCAAACGCATCTGTGGTTGCCTGTCATGACGAGATCGGTCTGACGGCCGCAGAGAACAAGTTGCAGGGTCTCTTCAAAGACACCGGGGCACAGACTCAAGGCTCGGGCAAGGACTTCGAGTCCATTTGCACGGGTGTTTTGAAGACTTCTGTTGTTCCAGAATTAGCGAGAGGTGTGGACGAAGGTCGAGTCAAGGTCAGTCTCATGTTGCGGTTCTCGAGAACGGTTCCAATAGCGATAGACTGAGACTGTTGAGGGATGTCTTGGACCAATGACCGGTCGAGAGTTGGAGTGGTGGTAGTTTTTGAAATTCGCCATAGGTGCAAGGAACGACAGATTAAAGACCAACGTTTTGACGTTTTGAAGTTAGGTGTGACCTGTGACAAAAGCATGACTGGTTGGCTAATGCGTGAGTATCTTGCAGATCCTTTCCAACGTCACGCTTGGCATGGCGAATGGGGAGATCGATAAAGTGGTGAGTGGTCGGACTGCCCCCCTATTTACTTGGACCACTTCCACATCCCCATGTTTAGTATCATTCATGAACGAGGTGAAGGCACCACTGTCTCGTAGAAGTCAATCTGATGGCAGATTCACTTCGAAGTTCCAGAGTCCATCGATGAATCTTCTTTCTTTTGCCAAAATCGAGGAGTCTCTTCCAAAACGTGTACAATTTTCCAGCGTGAATTGTTCCAGATAGGGCCTTCAGGAGGCTTGCTTCCTACGTGCAAGCTAATGACGGTTGTGTCGCTTATCTTGCAGATTGTATGCGTGCCAGACGCAGCTGCAGAGCCCGTCTCTGTCTTGGCCGTTGCTGAATGCAAAAACAATGTTAACGACCTTGCTCACGGCTTTTCGGTGAGGGCACTTACTGAGATCGTTCGACTCGCTTTGGCTTCTCTTCAGGTTTGGACAAAGCTGCCCCTTTTTCTCGTCGTGTGATTCCAATCGGATCATGATTGCGACTGTTGCTCACAGACTTTTCACAGACAACGTCTTTGGGAATTGCAGATCGTCTTGCTCGAGTATTGCAACCAGGGAAATGAGACTGCGGGTTAAGTCTGGATTGTGGTTCTGAAGTTGGTTAGCCACACTCGTCGTTGCAGAAGCGAGTTTCTAACATGTTTTTTGACTCATTCAACAGATGATGCAATCCAACATCGGTTGGCTCAGCGGAGAGAGGGTGGGGTCCCACGCATATGATCCGGAAGTACGTACTCATTCGCCTTCTCCTTGGTCCAGACATCAAACATCGGATCTCAGTATCTGACAAAAAATCAGCCGAATATTTCATTCCCACGTGCTTTACGATAAGTTGTCTTACTTTGGATGCACTCGACATGGAGACGTTGATGAGCTTCACTTGGGCGGGAAGCAGCGGGATGGCATCACTTTCACAACGAGAAGCACGCTAAAGTTAGTCAAAGGCCAACTCTTTACTTGCTACGTGCTTCAACAGTTAGCTATTGGGGAGGCCTTTCCAGGCATTTGGTGCCTTCTTCCTAGATGCTTTGGTGGACTAATATCACCCTCACAGAAACCGCAACGCCTCATTCATACCAACGTTTGCAGGCCTGGAAGACACGCAAGTACACTAAAGGCCACTTTGATCGCACAGTGGTGCATCTAGAAAGTGGCTCCGAGTATGTCTTCGGCCCAACCAGCTTCCAATCGTTCAAGCGTGATTCTGAAGAAGGCTGCTTTCTCAAGGGGGTCTACTTCATCACTCGGGCTGGCACTCTCACCGGCTTGGGGTCAGGCGAGATCAATCTGATCAGCCACAAAATAGCGACTGACCTGGACTTCCAAGAAGCACTTCAAAAGCGCAACGTGAGTCGCCATCGTCCGTTGGTCAAATTCCTGTCTTGTATTGAGCAACTTGAACCTCTGTAACGCCCGTTAATCGACGTGGTTTCAAGATTCTTCCCAATACTGGATCTGACAAATGCTTGACTGCTTTGCGGGCAGTCGGACCCTTCGCTTTCTGACGATCCTGCGATTGCGGGGTTTGAAGGGTTTTAGGTCCTTGGGAAGCTGAACTTTGCGCCTTTTGCCTAGGACTCGACCCGAAAACTAGACTGCCTCGATGCAGAGGAGAACCGGAAGCGTTTCAACTTCCTGTCGGGCGAGCTGGTGCTAGCATCTCTTCGTGGTCTAACCCCTCTGGGTTGCCTTGCAGATGTCGTACTTCAGCAAGCTTCAAAAGTGGGTGGACAAAATCAAGGAAGGAAAGCTCTCCTCCGTGGACGTTTTGCGGCTGTACGAACGGCAGTCAACAAACGCCGGCAATGTGTTGCTAATCGAGTCTGTAAAATGATTATCAAGTGGCAGATCGTTTCCTTCATTGAGACCAATGACAGCGGTCCAGCAAAAAAAATCACATTATGTGGACGCTATGTACATTAGCAGAGTGTAAAATGCCTCCGTTTCCACATCGTGTTTGCACTGAAATACCCAATCGCTTTGGCACTGCGTGTATCTTTGGCCTCAGTGCAACGACGTCAGCATTTATATTGGCGATGTGTCTTTGATGTAGAACACTAGCGCGAACCAGCAAAAATGCGAAGCTTTTATGGGGCCTCGAGCTGCGGCCGGCCCGACCGCGTGCGCAAAACGTTGATTTGGCCGGACTCGACGACGTAAGAGCCAATGGGGCCAACCTATAGTCGTGACGTACTCATGTTTGATGTACCTGACCCGGTACTAGGTCAGGTACGAAGTGGTTACACGTTAGGATGGTGTACAAAGAGCTTTCAAGCCTAGTTATTTTTTTGACAATTTCGTAATCCTGAGCCGCATTGCACTAGCTATTCAGTTCCTAAGTTGTCAAGTCAAACAAAATTTCGTACAGGCGCAGCCCAAATTTGATGTTCAACGGTCAGTTCACTACTTGACCATATCCTGAACTACGGCAGAGCCGGACTGGCCCTCTCATGCTGATGGCGGTCCTCCAATTCGAAATGTAGTGCTACTCAAAGAAGCCCAATCAGCATGAATTCACAATTCCCTCGCGAACACGTTGTGCCATGGCAGTGGCGCAACTGCACGCCACCATGGATCATGGTTGCCCGGCCCGGCCGTCGTACATATGTGCTATGATGCTGGCAAAAGCTCAGGCTAGGTGCGATCGCAGCTGCGGCCCCCGCATGTGCCAGTGCTCGCATGCTCTGTATATATTCGAGCGCCCACTGAATTGGCATGCACGCCTATCATGTTTGCGTATAATTCTGGCTCCTGCATGTGTTAAAGGGCATCATGGTAGCACAGACCCGGACAGACGTGTACTCCGTCAGTTGTCACCTTGGGGCACTCAATGCAATTATATCATGTTGATTGGGCAATTCATGTCTTTGTCTGGAATGAAAGGGCAAGGATGGTCAGGCAGGCTGATTGGTTCGGACAAGTTCAAAGAAGCTAACTTTGACATACAAATGTTGAGGAGGGTTGGACTCGAATCGATCGAACGCGATTTTCTGGAACGTATAAGGCCGGTTAGCCGAGCGAAGTGAAGATTAGCAGTGTCGGACCTGCTTGCATTGTCCAATAGTCCATATCTGGTTGACGAGAAAGATGAAGAGCAATATCGGAACAAGGGAGATCTATCGATCGACTCAATGCTCAACGCAAGCAACGCAATATTCCGGGTCCTCGAGGACCTTGATGGATTTTTCGAGTGTTAAAGGCAGCTACGCAAAGACTTCAATATGCTACCGAAGCTTCCATCCTCCAGGGGGGTTGAAGAACCTCGCTTCGGACAAGACCCTATCAGCCTCGGTTCCTGTCCAACTGAGCAACAATTCCAACAACTCCCACCCCGCTTTTTCCCCCACGTCTAAAAAGTCAACCACGTCCTTGAAGTCCTCATCCTCCAAGTAATAGTTTCTAATCGCTTCGATATTGAGCTCGTATACGCCGTCCCATAGCCTTTGAATAGAGGCGGCGTTTGCCGGCACTTCCGACTTGCCTAGAGTGCTGAATACGAACTCCGCAATGGCAAGCCCGAGCATCCGGATGTCGTGCTGACGACACATGGATGCGATGGCCATGGGCGAATCGGCCCCCAACGACCGGCACATTTCTTGAATCTCCTTGTCTAGACTCTCGATGCCCTGCCAAAAGGAGTGCCATGACGGTTTCGCAAAGAATCGACTTGCTGATCGTCTGCGTACTTTAGAATACCGCAGCTGCTTGCCGAACACTTAGCCACAGGCAAGACACAAGCAGAAGTTCTGCTCGTGGTTCTTAGCCTCCTAGAGGCGTTGGCAGCATGCTTCTAGTTCTGGTTTCAGATGAAATGTTGCAATACAAAACCTTACTGAGACGAGTGTGGGTCAAGAAAGGCCTTACGGTCAAAAGGGCGCAGGTCGTTACTCCACGAAAGATTGTGCAGATTGGTAGTGAAGGATGCGAAGACATCGCTTACCATCGAGAGGTCCGAGGCGAACCCAAAATTGGAGAGCTTCACCCGTACTTTGTCTGCACAGAGGCGCGAGCAACTGTCAAGACCGGACTCTCGCCACAGGCTTTTGAATTGTCACCGTCGAAGATTACACCAATCCGCCCGGTCAGGCTAAAAGCAGGATGCGCAATACGGACGAAGTGCCTCCTTGGATCCAAACAACAGGTAAAGAAAGTGTCTTCCTGACGATTTCCCAAGCAATTGCGGATATAGGGCCCAGATTGGCCTCTTCTGTAAGGTGCATGGACGTGTTTGCAGACAATATACAAGCGTACATGTAAGGTGTAAGACAGTCCCGTCAGCTGGGAGTTCTTTGGAGATCCCCAGCAACGAGGTTCTCAAAGGAGTCGGACTCTTTGCAGGTCCCCGTCAGGCGAGACTCTGTAACCCGATACCCTTCGAAGCATTGGAAGTGTACTGCTGCTACGGCTGCAAGCCAGCGGAAGAGACGCACGGTACATATGGCAGAGCCTCACCCCAGTCTTTCGCTTCGTAGGTGCTTAGGAGGAAGCAGGAGCCGGCGATGGCGTTGTGGACCACGCCTCTGACGTGGCAAAACGCCATGGCCTCAACGGCGCCACGTATTACGGCCTGCAACCCCAAAAATCAGTTTTTTTCTAGATGCCGGACGTTGCTTTCGCGATGGAGTGATCATAAGCCTCGGGGATAGCAGCCTGAGGTGGGGGAGCATGATGAAGCTAAGGTGCAGAATGGTCAGGGTTCTGGAAATCTATCGTTCTTGAAGCTTATCATCGAGAGACCTATGCTAAACGGCAATCGGGAGGGCCCTTCGTGACTGCGTTTGGTCGTTTCCAATCCAACATCCGGACGCTCGAAGGAACCGCACGACCAAAACGAGTCGAGAAGATTCTGCTTCCACGGGATGCGTTTCTGAAACACCTGTCCGGCTTCCGAAAAGGTTTCAAGCGGGAAGCCGGTACCGTTGCTCTTCACCCCGTGCGCCACCGACGTTAGGAGAAAAGAATGGACGGAGCTAAACCTATGACTAAAGAGGAGCAGTCGTGCTCACCTTGACGAAGCGCGTGAGTCGTTCCTGGGCTGCCCCTCGTCGGAAGAAGTCCACAACATTCGGGGGCTGCTCGATGCCCGGAAAATCCTCCATAGTGCACATCCCCTCGAACTCAAACACCTGAGAAGGCAAGCGGAGTTCGGTCATGTGCTCGGTCCGTGATGAAGACCGGAGGTGGAGCTCCCCAGGCGCAAGGCCTGCGATTGTGAAGAGGAAATATCGCCGCAGTCTTTGCTCGGAAAGTCTTCCATAGTGCACATCCGCTCGAACTCAAAGACTTGCGAAGGAGAGAGTGAGCAAAGTTACACGCGTTTTCATCGAGTACTCCGATCAGAACGAAGATCCGCTGCTTTTCAAACTCCGGGGAGAATGCCACATCCGCTTTGCAAAGGATTATTGCTGATCGACCTCAAGCGCGAAGATCTTTGTTCGATGTCAAGAGCAGGAGCGGACCAAGCAGTGTCGAGATATTCAGCCACTCAAAAAGTACGACTCTCGAAAATAGAGCTCTTAGCGGATGGACTTACGACGAGGGCATAAAAGATGCGGTGCAGGCCACGAGGGCAAAGCAAACGACCGGTCAGAGCGCAATTTTATACGGCCATTGGCAGCACTTGCTCGATTTCAAGATCCCAGCGTTGAAAGTGAAGAAATGGTGCATTTTCGTCCAGAACTCCTCATCACCCAGAGTCAAGCCCCACAATCTTTTTAGCAGTAACCTCCGAAGCTCCAGCCGAGAACTGATTAGGGTCCCCATTCTCCGCCAGGTTATCGCTGACGTTCCCTTCCCAAATCCGACGGCTTCTACTTCCTCGTTCTGCAGCTTCCGGACTTTGACACGAGCGACGATCTCGCTTTTAGTCAAAAGGATTGACGCCAAACTCACTATTCTCATTCTCATCTGACTGCGACGTCACATCGCCCTGGCTAAACACTCACCAATCATAGCCGGGCCCCTTCACCCTCCGCCGTCTCCGGGCCGATGTTCCCTTCCTCAAACAAACTCTTAAGAGCACCCAAAAGAACCTTCTCTTGTCCAAATCACCGATTCGATGCCGAAACCCTCAACTCTTCTCACCAACTACAATGCCGATAAAGCTGTGATGATTCTTACCAGCCATAGCCTGGCCCCTTCATCCTCCGCAGTCTTCAGGCTGACGTTCCCTTCCTCAAACAAAGTCCCTTCAGAAAACCATCTAAAAGGGCGGTCTCTCTTCAGATCAGAAGCCTGGTGCCGAAACCCTCATCACTATATTCACCAGCGCCGACCAAGCTGTGATAGTCTTTACCAGCAATAACCTCGCCCTTCATCCTCCGCCGTCTCCAGGCTGACATTCCTTCTTTTAAACAAACTCTTACCGAAAACCATCCAAAGGGACGCTCTCTCTTCCAAATCAAAAACCTGGTGCAGAATTCCTCATCACCATTCTCACCAACTGACGTCGATCAAGCTGTGATGATTCTTACCAGCCATAACCTGGCCCCTTCATCCTCCGCCGTGTTTAGGCTGACGTTCCCTTCCTCAAACAAACTCTCTCCAGAAAACCATCCAAAGGGACGCTCTCTCTTCAAGATCAGCGACCTGGTGCCGAAAGTCTCATCGCTATTCGCACCGACTACAATGCCGACCAACCGCTGAATGCTCCTCACCAGCCATAACCTGGCCCCTTCATCCTCCGCCGTGTTTAGGCTGACGTTGCCCTCCTCAAACAAAGTCTCTCAAGAACCATCCAAAAGGACGTTCTGTCTTCCAAATCAGCGACCTGGTGCCGAAAGTCTCATCACTATTCGCACCGACTACAACGCCGACCAACCGCTGAATGCTCCTCACCAGCCACAATCTGGCCCCTTCATCCTCCGCCGTCTCCAGGCTGACGTTGCCCTCCTCGTACGTGTCCGTCACCTTCCCGTCTGCGCTCAGGAACATGCTCCCCTGGCTCACGCTCCCGAAGCCCTCCAGCTCCCGCCGCCGGCCCAGCTTCGCTAGGTCGATGTTCATGGGCCGCTCGGGCACTGCACAATGCCGGAACGATGCTGACGTCAGGAGACGTCAGCAGAGACTGGGTTAGAACTTGAGTTAGCTCGAAATCAGCGCTGAACCGCTCAAGCCATCGGCCCAGCTTCGCCGGGTGGTGGATGTTCATGGGCCGATAAGGCACTGCATAAACTCGTAAATGAGTGAGGTCAGCCAAAAACTGGTTGACAACCTTCCCAGCAATCTCCAGCAATGATAATGACGTCGGCAGAAACTTGTCCAGGAATACTTTAGCCAAGAAGTAGAGCACTTCTCATTCCGCCACGCGCCTAGCTTCGCCAGGTCGATGTTCATGGGCCGGTCGGGCACTGCATAATCGTGGAATGAGTGACGTCAGCAAAGAACTGGTTGACAAGCTTCCTAGCAATTTCCAGGAATGGTGGTGACGTCAGCAGAAACTTGTCGAGAACCCAGTCAGCCCAGAATCAGAGCACTTCTCATTTTGCCGCCAGCCCAGCTTCGCCAGGTCGACATTCATGGGCCGGTCGGGCACGTAATAGCATTTCGATTGCCCTTCTAATGAAACTGGCTCAGAATAGCGCACAGCCGCTCGACCGCCAGCCCAACTCTGCCGATGTCGCGGGTCGATCCGGCACAGCGGAAATTTCAAACTGGTACAGAAGTCAGCAGAAAGTCGTTCAGTACCCAGGTAATACAGAAGAAGGCTTTCCAATCTGCCGCCGGCGAAGCTTCGTCGTGTCGAAGTTCGCAAGCCCATTCAGCCGTGTAGGGGTCCACCTGTGGCTGACGTCAGCAGCACCATTTCCAGGGAGTTCTCAGCAACTCATGTGAAATGCGCTTGTCGTTGGCTGAGTCTGCCGCCAGCATTGTCAGGCCGGTATTAGAAGGCAGGTGATTCGTCGACGGTTTCGGTGTTCAAGGTGTTCATGGCTTTCAAATACTGACCTTCGATCCCCAGAGATCCACGGGAGGCTCAGGGGTCACGTCTGCAGGATCTCGACGAAAGCCTGGCTGCCGTCATTCATCGTTCGGAGTCTCGGTTCAGGTGGAAGTCAATGTCTCGAAAAAGGTCTGGTCAATGAAAGACGTCCAGCCTGCCGCCTCTTGGTCATCATCCAGCGTAAGGAGTCGAGTGGATCAGTAGGAGGTCTTCAAATCAAGCGAATTGTAGACACAAACCCAGCTTCGACGAAGTCTAAATCAAGCGAATCGTAGACACAATCCCAGCTTCGACGAAAGTTTCATCGATAGTTCGCCTGCCTTGACTAAAAATCACCTTGGTCGTCTTCGCCGCTGCTGAACATTTCTCAATGCGAGCCTGCGCCTTTCGCCAATCTCGAGTAGATCGAAGTCAAAGCCTCGACAAGCATCAAGCAGCCACTAACACAAACCGTGACTTGCCTGCCTTGTCTTCGTCGCTGCTCATTCTGTACGATGCGAGCCTGCATTTTGTATCTAAGGCAGGCGGAAGTCAAGCCTCAACAAGACTCAAGTCATTGAAACAGCCACCACTCGCCTGCCTCGTCCTGGTGACCATCTGAGTCATCTTCGTCGCTGCCCATATCGTGCAGCTCCTCCACGTAGTACAGCCGCCGTCGCTGCTCGCTCTTTTCAATGCGAACCTGCTTCTTTCACTAAGGCAGTTCGGAGTCAACGCCTCAAAAAAACTCAAGTCACTGACACAAAGCGTGACTTGCCTGCCTCGTCGTGGTCATTGTCAGAGTCATCTTCGTCGCTGCTCATATCGTCCGGCTCCTCCATCTCCACGTAGTATTGCCGCCCGCTGCGGTCCTCCACGACCACCCCCCGGATGTCGAACTCGTCGTCCTCGCCGTCGGGGCCCCACGCGGCGTCCAGGCCGCCCGCCACAAAGCGCCTGAGGATTAGGGTTTAGGGTTTAGAATTCAGGGTTTGGGGTCTGGGGTTTAGGGTCTGGGGTTTAGGTTCTAGGGTTTAGGATTTGGCTTTTAGGTTTCAATGTTTCAGTCAACTGAGCACCAAACAAGAGTAGATTGGAAGGAAGTGGAAAGCAAGAGCAGAAGCAAGAGGAAGAGGAAAAGGACGAAACGGAAGAAAGATCAATGGAGGCTCTTGAAGGGGTCTTCACGCCCTGTCCAGGGGAGCCCACCGCGAAGCGCCTGGGGAGTGTGGAAAAACGAGAATGGGGAAGTGGCCCATTGGGAAGGAAGGGAAAAGGGCGAAGGAAGAGAAGAAAGGGAACACGAGGTATTTGGACCGCTCGCCACGAAGCCTCTGGAGAGTGGGCAAAAACAAGCTTTCAGAAGATGATGGAAAGCCAAAGGTAAGAACAGGGGTAGGAAGATTTAGGGAAGGAGTAACGGGGGATTTGAGCGGCCCTGTACTCTCTCCAGACCGCTTGCAACGAAGTGCTTGCTGACTGGAAAGAAACGAGGATGGGGAGAAAGCAAACTGGAAGAGTGAGGGACGACGGGAGATGAAAAATGAGAGATAGCTGGAGGGCAGGAGGAAAAGGATGAAGACAATGGAAGAGAGTAAAAGAAGGCCTTATACGGCCCCACGCGCTGTTTAGACCGCCCGACACGAAGCGCCTGGGGAGTCAAAAGTAGAATCAACCGTCTGGCTCGACAAAGGATTTCATGAAGGTGCAGTTGCAGTTGACTTTCAGCGCTGTCGCAAGAACAACGGAAGGAACGGTGATCGATGGACGACTTATCATTATGCTTTCCTACACCGCTGACCCGGAAAGTCCAACGTCCCTGCCAGTGAGCAACTGGATTTCGGCTCTGGCTTTTAGACAAGTCGTATAACTCACCAGAATTTCATCAAGTAACCATGTGGTCTCCTGTCGTTCTCTCTTTCCTTGTCCTGGATGTCTTATTGTAAGAAGCAAAGGGCATGGAACAAGAGACGCAATCGGACCGAGGCTTTCAGACGCTGGGCGACCAAACAAGGGTAGAGAAGCAGACAGAGCTCGATGTAAACCAGCAAAACAACCTTTCAAGGACGGCCGGAGTGGAATCAGGGAGTTCCGGCAAACCGCAAAGAGACTTAGAGCAAGGGCGTCACACAGGCGACATAGAAGGAAATGTTCGCTGCTTGATGGAAGCCAACTCCTTGCTGCACATGAGTCCCAGCGTGCCACCGACAATGATTGCGCAAACTCGTTGACGTGCAGTCGTTAAAAACCGTTGCGCTGAGGCGAGCCCTCGAGCGTGGAACGAAGGGAGATCTAATACTGGATCTGGGCACTGGCAGCGTTCGCACATCGGACGACACGGCTTGTCCTAATACACGAGCACTACGTCTTTCGGACCACTCACCCGACTAATTTTGGCACCGGTAGCTCCCCCGTGTCGGTCATTCCGATGGCGTTCCCAAGCCCCGTGTCTTGCAACCGTTCGTATCTGCAGGAACGGAGGTGAAGGTAAATGGACGGAGGTAGTGCTGTCACAAACGAATTGCAGAGGAAGTGTCGTACGCCAAAGCACTCGTGAGCAGCAAAGTGGTAAGGACGTGGGGGTCGAGACAGGTCTGTTAATTCGACAATGGACAACAGGGGCCTTGACAAGGTTCGGAAAAATCAAAGAGCACTAGATCCGAGCAGAGTCTCACTTTTGAGACTGAAACCGACGAAAGTCGTGCTCCATGCGTCAAACGCGATGGAGCCAGAAAGCAGCCCTGACAATTATTGCTCTGCCAATCTCAGAGGAATCTTCGATCGCCCAAACCCCAAGAGGATCCTCAGATGATCTTAAGATTGCCCGACTGCCAACCTCACGTAGAACGTGGACGAAACAACCCTTGGAGCTGAGGTCGGCTTTTCAATCGGGAGATTTCAAAGCAGTCCTGATGCGAGAAGGCAAACTTCTCTGCCCAAACGACAACATGCAAAAACTGAGCATTGGAGACCCTCACACTTTTATTTCCCGCATTGCCAGTTCCCTGGCTGCAGGGGTATACTCTTTCAGGTACACCTTTTCGTCCTTCATCCCCATCGGCTTGCTGCATAGAGTCAAGTACACCTTCGTGAGAAGGTCACTCTTTTGACACCTATCTTGGAAGTCTTTGGTGAGGTATGGCCGCCTGCTACATCGTTTTCCGTATTCTTACTCTCAGCACGATGATCGAACCTGAATGGATAATTTGTTCAAATGGAGGACTTGGTAGCACCAGCTCAGATGTTTGGTAACCACCACAAGACGAACGGCTGTTCCAAGGAGTTGATTGTTTTTGGAAGTGGTGTAGTAGAATTGTTTGAGTGTATGCGACTGTGCTTCTGATCGGCCAGCCTCTTTGCAATCGAGGTTGTCCGAGGGACAGCCTCGCTTACTCAATTTCGCTAAGAAATGCGCACTACTTTTTCTTGAGACAGCATGGAGAAGTGCTGGCCCCTGAACCTCTCAATATTCACAATCTTATTACAATGGATGTTGAGCTCGATCAGACTCCCAACAAAGTGCCATCACGAGACTTAAAAGTGAATCAAGTAAACTCAACAGGTTCAACTGGTCCTGATCGCGGTCAGAAACATTCAAAACCCCTCGTTGGAAAGCTCACCCGGTCGCAAAACGTGCTGCATACACGTTGATGAATGAAGGCGCGCTTACGATCAGATCCTCCTCGTCCTCTTCGTCGCTGTCCTCGTCTTCCGAAGCCAACATCTCCTCCCGGCTCATCGTCCATGTCTGTAACAAAAGAATGAGCCTTTCTGTGCCATTGCCCCACAAAATGCAGGTGTTTGGTGTCCTCTGTGCTCAGATCAAAACTCAATTTCTGTGCCTGGTCTTTTAACTGTCTTGATTCTTACCTGATTGCTGGATGTTCGCTGGCCATTTTCAAATCCTGCCTGCTCTGCAAAATTCCTTGGAACTCTTCGTCTGTTCTCTCGCTGTTCCACCCCATGCTTTGCTTCAGCAGTGTCCCTTGGACCTCCAATCGGACCCTTTCCAAGCTCTAAACATTTTTATCCTTCGATCAGTCTCCGCTGTCCAGTAGTGGATGTCTGGGGAAGGGTGCTTCTGACCTGCATTGAGCAGCTCTAAAACTGGCTCACATTCTTTAGTTCAAGGCTTTAGAATTGGCTGTAATATCCAGGTTGAGACAACCATACTTACCTCCTGAACTGTCAACCGGCCCACCGGCTGCAGAATCTCGAAATCCTCTGCTCTGTAACTATCTATTGTTGCGGATGCCGTCGCCGCACCCCCAGCGCATCTCTTATTGGTTCTCCGGGGCCTCCCAAGACTGGGATGTCTGGCGAAGGACTTGACGGGAGCGACCCCAAGGAACGCGCTTCTTGCAAGTGCCCCTTTGCGCTCCTGGGCAAGTGGTCGAGCGCACCATGGTTGACGCAAACGGGCCTTCATAAGAAAGCCCCAATAACGGTTGGTCGATGCTCCATACAAGATGGCAGGGATTGCAAGATACTTATTGCGTAGCAGTGAGAAAGCAAAAAACGCATGGAGATTCCGAGTGGTGAACGTCATTCCAAGTCTACTGTGTGGTCCATGAGCATGCTATTCTCCTACCTTGACAGATCTCCATAGCAAAACCTTGCTTAAGTCGCTATCTCTGAGTTGGGTGGCGTTTCACCAGTGGTCAAGAGTATTGCGCCTTACCAAAGAGGACAGGAGTAAAGCGCAAATCTGCTCGGCGTCTCCTCAATCAGTATTTTGACTTCCCCTCCAATGAAATACAGACTTTGTCACTTATCTCGTATCTTCCGAGCATGAGAATGTGTGTGGTACAGGCAACTACAGTCTATGAATATAGTCAGAAGAGTACCGCCCAAACAGGAATCGGAAGCTTTACATCAGTAGTTACAGACAACTCAAAAAAACACTCACGAAGCCTTTCCAGGGTTGATAGCCGCTCGAATAAACAAGTTTACATCCATAGCCTTGCTGTTAATACGGGCTGCTTTGACAATATGATGGAGACTCTGCAACAAATTTGCCAGTTTGATTATGTGGCACGACCTTTTTTCAGCTGCATTAGAAGATTCGCGTCCAGACTTACCTCATTCTGCTTGGCCTTCACGTCTCTCTGCCACCAGTCATCACTTTTACCCCATCTGTGTGTTTTGTTCGACACTAAGTGTCTGCTTGCTGCATGCTCTTTATTGCATTGCTGCCAAGAAGCAACAAGCCCCTGTGCCGAGGTCGTTCTATGGATGCTGCAGCACAATGAGCCCGTACTCAACATTGTCAACCTACGTGCATTGCCTCCTCAGTATCCTCATTCATACCCAGCTGTACATTTGAACGCGCAAGGAATAATTCTGGCAGAAGCTCAACACGGAGGAAGCAGAGGTGTTTGACAGCTCGGGCGCCAAACTGCTCTAGCGCCTCGCAGCATTGTGCTCAAATGTTGGCTGCTTGTTTGATAGTTTCAAGGGGTTTGTCGGGCCTTTCATTGCGGCGCTGAGGTGCCTGTCCGGAACGCAAAGGTTCCTTCAAAAGCTGACCAACGTCTTCGCCATGCGCGTTAGTGGTGCTCTCATAAGTAGCATTTGGAAGTTTGGGAACTCTGCCACTGGCAATGGAACAGATGGAAGATTTCAGTGTGCAGCATTTCTTAGAAATCTTCTAAAATCACATGTACGTCCTTCGTGCAATTTCTATGTTGAACTAGATTGGGCTGATGAATTGATGTTCTTGAGGTGATCCCTTTGTGCTTTGAAGCCTCCGCGCCGTACATCGACGAACGTCCTCTGCTTGCGACCAACTATATACACATATTGAAGCCGTCGATGGTCAGCTTTTATCGATCGAACGGTCATAAGGGCGCAGTCAACCTCCAGTGTCGCAACTACCGTTGCCTGGCTGAGCTGAGCGCAAAGCCTTGAACAGGTGAGATTGAAGGCTCTCTAGCTCAATCATGCAATTTTCAGCTTGATCAGAGAGGAACTGTCAGCGAGCAAGGAGACAAGGGGTGTGCACGATGACAGGGAACGGTCGCTGAAGCTGCAGCTGCCCGCATGAGCAGCCTCTTTGGAAGGGTGCCAGTGGCAGGATGCCAGCCTTTTACCACCAAAATGGGCCCCGCTTGCAGATCCCTCTGAAGAGCCAGGCAAAACGAACGGCGCTTGGTGGCAATGTGTTTGATAGTTACGGGGGCGAGAAGAGAGCCAGGCCGAATGGCTCGGCCAGCAGCGGACAGCTCCACGAGAGGGACGAAAATGGTCAGGATGTTGTTGGCCCGCTGTCAATGCAGGAGCGGTTGCGGCTGGCGGGTGCTAGCTCAGACGCGGGCCCTTCTGAGCCGCAGCAGCATAGCGCACGGCTAGATCATAGCACGAGTGGTGATGGCTCGGGAGTGCATGTGAGTGCCAATGGAGGGGCGGGGACTGGTAGTACTGGGGCAGCAGGACTAGGGGTCCTGTCCTCAGACTGCCAGCCTGTGGAAGTGAGCATGTATCTTGATGTCCCACAGCCTGGTGTTGGCCTCACAAACCTAGGGAACACGTGCTACCTGAACTCGGTTCTGCAGTGTCTGCTGCACACAAGGCCTCTTCACAATCTGCTGCTGGAGCGCTACCACTCAGAACACTGTGAGTCATACAACCTTGCTTTCAACCTGATATAATGACCTGATCCATCATCCTGCTTGTGCCCTGCTGACCTTTTATGTGACTTCAGTTCTGTGGCTTGGAATCAGACTTGATCTTTTGTTCATTAAGTTGAAACCCTAAAACCAAAGTGCTGTTGATCGATGAAAAGGTGGTGGAAGTAGTGCAAGACGATGGTGGTGCATCCGAGATAGATCAAAATGTTAGTTCATTTCTACAGCATGTTGTATCGGCAGATGAAAGGCTAAAATCATAGTTTTTTTGGAAGGCCCGCCAGGCCCTTTTTGCCAATGGTGAGTGCCCTTGATACTTTATGAGGAGCCTTTTGTCAACAGAGTGGAGGAGGCTGTGCGCACATAGGTTTCAGCTCAAGCTCACCATAAATCGAGTCTGATTTGATCATCAGCAGTCACATACCACTGTCAGAATCGACACTTGGCAGTTCCATAACTACTGCTTTCTACGTTTCTAGTTGTTGTAGACACCTCATTGTTGATCACACAGTTACAGTATCTGGTTGACCCTTTCTATGGCCGTGAGAACCCTTGCAGTGGTACCATGTCCTCTTTGTGCAAGATTCAGCACCTCAACCCAGTGCTAATTTCCTGATAGACAATCCTGGTGCCGAACACCGTTACAGAAAATTTCACAGCACGGAGTGAATTACTATTTAGTATCTCTTATGTTCGTTCAACCTGAGGTTGGTTCGCGCCCGGGAAGTATGCCGGATCAAGCGCCAACTCCTTCTTATGCAACACTTAGCGTGTGGCGCTCAGTTCTCATGCACTATTCTTGCAGGTGAGTATGGTCATGGTAGAGCAGACGGTTTCTGCCCCCTTTGCTTGCTGGAGAGACGCCTCCGAGGCAGCTTTTTCACCGAGCCCAAGCACCCGCGGCCGCTGGCCATTGCCAAGAACCTCCACCGTATCCTGAACACACATGGACTGGTTCTCGTTGTCAGAAGTTGCTCTGTATTCATGGTAGCGCTCTGCAAACCACGGCTGCTAAAAGATTGAGACTTCCAGATCTTGATAATGTCATTCTCTTGAGCAATTGGGAGGAGGTTTCATCTTTGTGCACACAGAATTCTCTCCGGCCCTGCTGCGAAATGGCTTCCTGTATCTAGGCTGTTGATTGTGCAGTCGTAGAATTCGTTCTGCTGGTTCTGACTGCAAGAAGCCGCCAGCTTTTGAGATAGATATTTTCATCCAGACGCACTCTTGGAACATGTGCGTGCTGGTGTATTTCAAGAATGGACTTTTTGGCTGGTGATCATCCTTGACAAAGGACCGACCAGACTTCGCGCCCCAGCTTCGTATCGGGGAGCAAGAGGACGCGCATGAGTTGCTGCGACTGATGATTGATTCTTGCCACCGCACCTGCCTACTGCAGCAGAGAGGGTGAGGCATTCGTCAACACTTCTGATTACTAGTATGGGCAAGAAATAACGAGATCTTCACAGATTGTGCTATGTTTTCCTAGATATTGAGAGACAGTCAGCAGGCAAGATAAAAGTACGACATTCATGTTAGAGACCTGCGACCTGTTTGGGGATTATTTGCCATGTTTTGTTTTCTGCAAGCGACCTCAATTTCGTTAGAGCTGATTGTGTTGCGAAGCAGTGCCACATTCGAGTTCGATCAACTTCGATCAAAAGGACAAGTGCTCCATCTGAAGTCGACCCTTCTACAGTGAATTCCCAGTACCATTCCTTGCAAACGGCAGTTTTCATCCGAAAGTTATGGAATTTGTAAAAGCCGAGGGATAGTGGAACCAAGTCCCTTCGACCTGACAAGGGAAGAGGGTACATTTAGCTGGGACCCCTCTAGGTTGGTGGATCATACAGGTGGATTTCCACAGGTGCTTTGAAGGTGCTCATGGGCACTGGCTCATTGGGAATAGTCGTCGCTGCAGTTTCTCCCCGGCTAGGTTGACAGCGTTCGAGGATAGGTCCAAAAGGGAGCCGACTGCCATCCGATCCATCTTTGGAGGCATCGTTCAGAACCAGGTAAGCCCGGAAGCGGGCGGCACCTTCTCCGCACAATCGATTCTAAATCCGTTTCGTGGTGGTGGTGCAGACTTCCCATGACTGCACTAAAACGATTCGAGGACAGGACTGGAAAGGTCCCCACAGTCATATCGGACATATTCGGGGGCGTGTTGCAAAGTCAGGTAAATCGATTGCGATTGCCTTCGAAGTTTCTCGCCACCCGCTGCGTGAAATTGATGCTTGTGTTCCTCACAAGAGCGTCTTACCGCTCAGGTTGTAAAGGACGCTGACTTCAGCGAATTGCTTCCAAGATTGTTATCGAGCTCGCATAGCAGCCTTTGAATCAGGACAGTTGTCACTTGTCGTTGTCGTTGTCACTTGTCATGTCTGGGTCAAGTCGAACACTAAAAGATCACTTATCGTTCTTGACATCACATATTGCACAATGTTCCAAAGCCATCTGAAAGGACTCCCTTGAAGCTTGGAGCTCCTGTCGGGTGTACCCAGGTTTAATTTAGTCTCTGGACCAAAGCACTCACGTCTTGTAACTCCTGTGTCGCATATGGAATTATAATTTCTGAAGTGTTCAGTGTTGCCGTCGACCCAGAGTCACAAGCACTGACTGCAATCTGAAAGCCTGCTTCTAAACCTGACTGCACGAGTCCAACTCCCAGATCCCCAAGTTCCCGCCCATTATCGTGCCAAACTTCTTGTAGTTCGTAGACCGCTCCCTATTCGTCATCGTAGGCCTCGAGTAATGAACGGACGATGTCGGACGGTCGGTACCCTTGACCTCACTGATAGACTTCTTATGAAGTACGGTTTGAGTGCCGGCCCTGACACCACTATGAGGAATCGCCAGTGACTTGCAGAATCCCCCAAACTTGTCAGATTCTAACCGCACTGGTCAAGTGCCTGAACTGCGGGTTCGAAATCGAACAACTTCATTAGTCCATCTTCAGCGCTCAACCTAGTCTGCCTTTTTGAACTCATCTTAGACGTGCACAATCGAAGCTCTTGGAGTGTTGTAAACGATAATATCTACCCCAAACCTCGCTCACAGCCTCATCTGCTTAATGCACAGGTCAAGTGCCTGATCTGCGGATTCAAGTCTTAACCAAACTTGTTCATGGACCTGAGCCTGGGCAAGTCTGAGATAAGCCCGTTGCTTCAAAACCTGCTAAAAGCCATCATTTCCTGACCCACAGGTCAAGTGTCTAACCTGCAATTTCGAGTCCAACAAGCGCGACGTGTTCATGGACCTCAGCCTGGACCTCGCCCCCTCCACGCACAGCGTCTACGCGGCGCTCCAGGCGTTCATTACGCCGGAGAGGCTGGACGGCGCCAACAAGTACCGCTGCGAGCGCTGCAAGAAGCTCTCGGCTGCACGCAAGCAGATGCAGATTCTGCGGGCGCCCAACGTGCTTGTCATTCAGCTCAAGGTAAGGTCCTCGTTTCTTCGCCGTTCTCCTGTTGGTGGGCTGTCAGGTGCTCCTTCTAGTCGCTGCCAGCAGCACGGGTTTGTCGTATAATCCTCGGAGCTGCAGTATCCTGTAACATGGCAAGTGCTTTCGACAAAATTGGCAAAGGTTGCTCCACTGAAACAAAGTTTGTGCTGTTTTTAGTATGCGCGAAACGAAGACGTGTTGTGGCTCCGGAGCAATCCGTTGAGAAGGGCCGTGGCTTTCGTTTTGGGAGGGGCTTACCTCAACGAACTTGTTTTGAGAAGGAGCGGCTTGATTCGCTAAGGTGTAGCTACTTTCCGCAAGGATCCCTCTGGCAAAGCAACGTCTTTCTTGGTGAGAACGTGATAGGAGACTGCTGTTTTCCTGGCAGACACGAGCACCCAACCCGCATGCTCAGTCCATGTATGCAACGGGACGAGACGGGAAGTGGAACAGAAGGTGATCAAAAGCCAAAAGGCGAGCACCTCGAACTGTTCGCAGTGCGATGATCATGTTGCTGCTCATGCTAACCAGCAGCTTTCTCGTGCAGCGCTTCGAGAACATCTGCGGCGGCAAGATCACGCGCCACGTGCACTTCAGCGAGACGCTCAGCCTGGCGGGGTTCATGGCCCCCGGCTCCCGCGACCCCCCCCCCGAGTACACCCTGTACGCGCTCATCGTACACGAGGGCAGTACTCAGCAGCTGGGGCACTACTACGCGTGCGCAAAGGCCTCCCGCGTCTGGTACTGCTTCAACGACTCGAGCGTGCGCCCGGTGCACTGGTCGGACGTGTCTCGCCAGGGGGCGTACATTTTGTTCTATCTTAGGACCCGCCCCCCCGGGTCGGTGTTTTTCTACCCCCCAAAAAGCCAGGTTCTGACAAAAGAGAGCGCCGGAGGTGCTGCCCGCGTGAATAAACAGCAACCGCCGGAGGGCAATCGGGGCGCTGTAGAGTCACCGGTCAGCGCCAAAACGGGACGGACAGAGGCAGGAGGCACTTCGACAGGGCCTCTCATCGGCCCCCAGTTGCCACCTGGTTATCGAGGCCCTGTCAAGCAACCGGGGAGTGCTGAAGTAGGGCGGGCGAACCTCGGAAACGGTGCGGCAGCTGCAGCGGTAGGGCCTCTATACGGTCCCCAGTTGCCACCTGGCTATCGGGGCCCTGTCGAGCCACCAGCAAACAGTGAAGGAGGGCGGGCGGGGCTCGGAAACGGTGCGGCAGCTGAGGCGGCGGGGCCTCTTTACGGGCCCCAATTGCCACCCGGTTCTCGGGGCCCTGTGGAGTCGGGAACGGGCGCGGGAACAGTGCAGACGGAAGTCGGAAGCAGTGCGGCGGCGCTGTCGGCAGGGCCCTCTTACGAGCCCCAACTTCCCCTGAATTTTCTGGGCCCTGTGGGATCGATCAGCGAGCCCGAGTTAGCAGGATCGAAGAGTAGAGACGAGAGAGGCGCACTCTCAGCAGGGCCTTCTTGCGAACTCCCGACGCCTCTGGGCCCTGTTGGCGTAAGTGGCGGGACCGGTCAGTCAAATAGTGAAAGCAGCAGCCAGATGAAGGGACCTCCAGCAAGGCCGGTCCCTCCGCTGCCAATCCCTCCAGAAACGCCCCCCTTGCCACAAGGCCTTGTCAGTCAAGCCGTGACTGCGGAAGGCAATCAAGGGGGGCGGTGCGAGCGGGGCGGGACAGGGCCCCCACTGTCACCAGGGGGCGCGGTCGAAGGTGCGGGGCGAAAGATGCTGAACCCTAGCCTGGACGGAAAGCCTCTTGCTGATCCGTGCGACAATTCAGGAGGGGCTGATCACGCAGTCAGCGTCACAACCAACGGTTCAGTGGATCAGGCGGGCCGGGCTGAGTCCAACGGGGGTGACGTCAGCGTCCCGCTTGGGGATGACGTCTGCATGTCTGGGAGTAAGATGGGGGCAGCTGGCGAGCGCGAGCCGCACAGTCTGAAGCGCAGACTGTCCGGATCAGACGCGCCGGTAGCCCCCGAGTCGAAACGAAAAGTGTCCAAAAGCGAGAGAATGTTCGATGTCGAGGTTGACGGAAGACTGAAAAGTGGGGAAGACAACAGAGGGGGTCTGATATGTGAAGCTGCCGGGGGCGGCGACACGCAGGATACCGTCGAGCATAGAGCGAGTGTTGCGGGTGCGGGGGATGGGGTTGCAGCTGGAGATCTGGTCATGCCAAGTGTCATAGGATTAGGGAATGGAATTGGCCAGGAAGGCTCGAAACTGGGATCCGGCGGCGTTGGGAAAGATGTGCAGACTGGGAACTCAACGGGGCAGGGACGCGAGGCGGCTCGATTGGGGTCGAGGAAGATCGACGGCGGCGAGGGGGTGGTGCGAGCAGCAGCGAGCGGTCCCCCTCAACCGGATACGCTTTTGAACGGTGGGGAGGGTATGTCAACGAGGCCACAGGGCGCTCTGGTCGAGGTCCATGGCGCGCCAGGAGGACACATGGATGCGGGCGGGAAAGTGGAGATTGTTGATGCGTCCGCTTGGTCGCTAGCGTTCTCGTACGGCTCAGACGACGATGAGGAGCGCGAGGAAACCCTAAAGAAGGCTGGTGTTATTGGCCTCAGTTCGTCAGCTTGCCCGGTTGAGGGAAGGATATTTGACCAGGGCTTGAAAACGGACCACAAGCCTCTACCCGGGTTGGTGGAAGCTGAGTCTCTGCTCCAAGGGGGGCCTGGTTTGGGCATCTTCGGCTGGTCTAAGACATAAGCTGGGAGAAGCACATCTGGTTTACGAATCTTAAGAGGTTGATCGATACTAAGGCACAGTCTTGGTTGCACCCTCTCTGAAGCTCCTTGGACCTATGATTGGCTAGTGTTTGTTATAGCCACTTTGAAGGACTAGCTCGAGGAAACCCACAATGATGGCCTCAAAATCTAAGACTGATTGGAAACCAATGCTGGCGGATACTTGGCATGTAATCCATGCATGTATGGGCGTGTGCAGCGCACTTTGTTTTGGTTGCATCGATTCTGTTGCATGGCTGGCTAGCAAGTCAATGTTAAGCAACGCGTGTGCATCACTTCAAGATTGTCAGAACAAGTTCAATAAGGCCATATGATAGGCAATGGGGTTTCAGAGTCAATCAAGTTGCCAAGCCGCTAGCGGCTTGGCACGAGCTCAGCTGCAAGCTCGTGCCACAGGAAGAAGCAGAAAACTACAGAAAACACCCTAAAAGGTATGGCCGAGTACTGATACTCTTACCTACCGGTACTACCTACCGTACACCGTCTCATGCCGGAGATCTTTCCCGCCGGTACGGCCCAGTTTATCGTCGACGTCGGCCGGGAAAAGCGACACATACCGGCTGTCATACACTGGTCACACATGCCGGAAAAGCTCCTTTGGGCGGCC